AATTCTTTAATGTGAGGGTGGTGAGGCCCAGGGAAGTTGCCCCATCTCTGGAAGTGTTCAAGGCCAGATTTGATGAGGCTTTGAATAACCTGGTCTAGTGGAAGGTGTCCCTGGCCATGGTCAGGAGGCATTGGAACTAGATGATCTTTAAGGTCCCTTTCAATCCTAGCCAGGATCTGTCTGAGGGCTATACTCATTTTCTATGGAAATTTTATACCCATCTGAAATAATACAAATATTTTGATGCAGAAAATTTTCTTCTGCTCATTCTGTCCCTCTTGCCTGTGCTGAAGGCCACTATTCATAGACAACTGGGGAATAGGGAAATATGGGTCACACAGGAAGCAATTTTTAAAGCAAATCAGGACAAATCTCTGCACCACCATCACCACACACATTCTCACAGAGACTAACTTCTGTGCAAGTTCTCCAAGCTCTGCTTAAAGCTTCTGAGCAGTCAAGAGCTATGGGAAGGGGTGGAGCATTTGTTTCAATTTGAACTACTCCAGCAGCAATTTCAAGAGCACCGGACAACTCAGGTTTGCAAACATGCCTCAGAAAGGAAGGTACCACATCCTCTTTGCATCTCCTTTCTCAGATGCTGGCCAGAAACCCATGGTCAACCACAACCACAGTCATCAGACACTTCTTTTCTACACTATTCTGGCTGTGGACTGGTCCATTTTATAGTCTGCTTTCACAGCCTCACTCCAGTTTATTTTTACGTAATAGGGAAAACATAATCCAGTTGTAAACTACTGCTCAAGAATCACTTCTGTGCTGAAATTTGGCTGAAATTTCCACATAGGAAGTTTGAAATGTTAAGATAATTCATTCTTCAAAGTTAAATGGTCTTAATCTGATCCTTTTAAGTACTTCTGATTGCAAATCAGTATTAGTCAAGTTTTCTTGGTTTTGAAAGCTTTGCTAATGTAGATGCTAATTGTCATGGAATTTTGCAAGCCACAAATAAACTTCTCACAGGTTTTCAGATGTCTATTAAGCTTCTCTATCACTCTTTTTAGCCCTTGAAGAGTTTGCCAAAACACAATGTTAAATTATGTAGTTTCCCAATTGCATCCTGCCATATGTTGAATGATGAGCCTTTTAGAGTTCTGTACAGAGCAAGTCATAAGAAGTTAAGTATTTCCATGTTGCAGAACAATGAGGAATTTTTCTTAGTACCCTTCTATTTCCTTGCTGATTTCAAAATACTCATGAGATGCTAAAAATCACTGGGTTCTTTCTTCCAAAAGTCAGGCTGGATAGGAAATTAGAAATCTCCACTTCCAAGACAGAATTGGTTCTATTTACAAATCCCCTAGAAAGCTGTGCTTAAAGTAAAAAAAACACCACTCACCTTTCAGAAAGGTGCTCAACAGGTGATCTCTACATTGTCCTTTATCTTAGCTTTCCTCATTTCCCCTTCCCTCCCTGGCCTCACCTCAATTTATTTTTTTAGCATTATCAGGTTTAATTCCACTCTTGGTTGATTTCAAAAGAAGAGAATAAATAACACTTATTTCTTCAATAAATCAAAGTTATTTCAAACCGTTTGTTGAGCCACATCAACTCTAAACAAAATCCTTCCTGGGACAGTTCCACAGCAACCCAGGATAATATAGCAAAGACTGGTGCAGAGGGTCACAGTATTTCTAGTGCATTCTGAAGTGTTTTACAAACTGGCCATTCAGTAGGTTGGAGTTCACAGAACTTAGTTCAATCCTAAGCAGTGAAGCCATAAGATGCCTCCCACTGTGTACAACTCTTGGAAAGGGGGCAACTTAATGCTACCACCTTGACTTTACCACTCTAATCATGTTCAAGTCATAAAGCAGGATTAGAGGTCCACCTTAAAAATCAGTTACTTGCTGAATGTTCATGGACAAAAAAAAAAACAACCCAACAAAAACCCCACACCCAAAACTTTCACAGTATCTTAAATCACGTCTGTTTGCATGTCTCTTCCGTTACTTTCCTCTGAACATCCCACCACACAACCCTCCCACCATTTCATCCTTCTCACTTACATCACTGTAATTACAGCCCTGGCTGATCTCCTTTGTGCTGATCTTGAGATTCTTTCTTTGGTCTTGCCACCTACTCATTTCTGATTCTTCTCAGATAACAGAACGCTTGTCTCCTTCCCAGACCTCCCACCCTCCTTCTCCCTCTCCCTCTTCCTTACACCATCCATACGAGTAAGAAAGCTATTCCCAAACTTATTATCTCCATCCAGTAAAGACTACAACAGCTCTGCTGTGGGCCTGGTAAGATATTATGCTTGTGGGCAAAACATTCTTTGGATTAGGCTTGCAGAGGGCAAGAGCCTTAACCTTCAGAAGTTTACTTTGAAGTCTGGTTGATTCAGGTTCCCTAAATCATTCTGTGCATCTACTTCCAGCAAGAGCACATCTGCACATTTCCAGTGCAGATCATTCACTCAGCATGAAACACTTAGAGAGGCTGCCTTCACATGCATATATGGAGTCAACAGCACACTTCCCCTTCCCTGAAGAACATACTACTGTTCTCAGACTCTGTGTTACAAATTGCCTGAAGACAGAGAGACAGATATTGTCAACAGTTTCGACACTGTTGCAAAGTCAAAGAGGACTCAGGAAGGCAGCAATGTAAAGGTCAAAGGGAGAGAAAAAACCTCCACACTCAGAACATTCAACCTGTAATACAGAAAATGCAGAGAAACTCCAACAAAAGTAGCTCAGCATAGGCAAGACTGTAAGCTATCCAAGAAACCAAATATTTCCTGTTTTTACTCTGTCACTTGAACCTTAGTTGTATTCCAATCCCAATCAAATACTCTGCATGAGTTCAGATAAAATTATGGGTATTTTGCCTACTGGTACTGTGCTAAGATCAAAGTGAAAAACGTTCACAAGAGTCATGGATGTGGGCAACTAAGCTGAAATATCAATTATAAAACTCAAGGTCAAACACTTTATTTTTCAGTAGGTATAATGCTCTAAGTAACAATATTTCACAGCTACATTTGTTGTATAGGCTACAGAACCCCAACACTGCAATCCGCATCATCTCAAAGCAGCATGACTCAGGCACATTGCAAAGGGTAAGGCTGCCTTGCCTGAAAAACTTCTGCTTATTAGGAAGAAAAAAAGAGCACACATTTTGTCTTTTCACTTTACTTCAGCTTAAAAAAACCCAACAAACAAACCACCAAAGTCTTAAGTTTAGACTAACCAGCATAATGGCATAACTTCAGAAGAGGCTTGAATCATGCTGACTGCTGACTGACACACTGCACACAGCAAAGTGAAGTTGGCTTTCTCAGGCCTAGAAAGTCAAAGCAGAGCAGAAGGCCAACAGGAGCCTGCTTTACTGACTGCTCTGGAGTACCACAGGGAACCCATGACCAAACAAGGCAGAGGAAGAGGACAGAGCCCATTTCTCATACAGCACGTAGGCGATTTGGAAAAGTCGGGGTTTTGTTGGTTTTTTTGCATGATTCCTGGAATTCCTGGGGATCTCCCAGGTGCAATATAGGTTAGTAGCTTAGAAGCTACTATTACTTCAAATTAATGCCATTCCTACTAGAAAACACATCATGCTGAGAGGAAGAGAAGGACCAGCCTTCCAACACAGACACTGAGAAATTAGAATCTCACTGTGGCACTGTGTGCACTCACAAGCTGACTAGATGGTGTTATTGCACATGTGTAATCACTAGGCATTCCACCCTTAGTGCAGGTAATATGATATAAAGAAAGAAAACACATGCTGGAAATACAACAACCACAAAAAATCCCAACCTGCACCACAAATGAAATACCACTGTTACAGCTGTGGGAAAATTTCTTGAAACAACTGAAATACAGTCCCATTTTCTTAGCAGGTATTTTGTTAGTATACAGGTGAATAAATTGTTTTTAAACAATTCTGGCTGTACCCAGCCAGCCAGAATCTTTTTGATGTCAGGACATAAAATGTGCTTCAAAGCCAGTGTCTACCCTGCTCGTATATGAGCTGTGACAGTCTGGGAGGGCTTGCACCACTTAATAAACCCATCCCTGGTTCACAGGCAGACTTGCATTGAGTCAGTGAGGTGTGATCAATTTGAAAATGTTATGGTTAAGCAGTGAAATGGTGAACACCTAATAGATAGCCGGTATAAAAACCATCAGTAATCAAAGTAACATTAGCTTTGGGATATGGTAGTTCTGCAATTTTTGCTAAATCCATATTATTGCATAAAATTTATAAGAAGCCATATTTTACAATTCAGTTTTATCAGCAGGAAAGCTTTAGAGATGTTCTTACCATGCTTCAGATGTAGGCAGCTGTCATTCTGGGGCCTGTACCTGTAGAAGATTGTTTTCCTTTAACAAATTTCTGTTACAGAGAGTTTTTGCACATTCCAAGTAAGTTTGTTTGCTACAGTGTTACATGGAATTTTTTTGTGTGTAATTTTTGGTTTTGTTGTTTGGGGGTTTTTTTATGGTTCTTATACCAGCCATTTTTTGTTGGGGAAAACAGGGTGTTTCTTAATACATATTTTAAAGACAAAGAGGAGACCTCACTGATGCTTTTAGCCAACCTACTAGGCAGCTGTTAGTGTACAAACAAATGTAAAATACAGTGAGATAAAATACAGCTACTACAAAAGGTCTGTGTAAAGCTTCCAGTGTCCAAAAATACCACACAGCATTTGAGCCACAGTTAAGTCTAAGGATGATACAACACGGATTGAGGAGAAAAGCAAAGGTAAAACAGGACAGGGTTTGCAGCAATGCGTAAGTTCAGCCAAAAATGTTGATGCCATCAGGACTGCTGCTCAGAAAGGTGTAAGGGAAAGCAAGCATGGGTTGTGTGCATGTTCACAAGCTTACATTCCAAGTGAAATATCTTAAAACATCCATCAGAAGCAAGCGTTAGACAAAAGCTCATAAAAATTAAATAGCGCAAGCCCTGGTTTCTAAAATATACCTGAGGTAAATGGCAAGTAAGAGGTGGTCATGGCCTACCTGATGCTGATTCCTGCAACTTTTCTCTCTTCCTCTTCTTTTTCTTCCCCTGAAAAATAGGAAATTTTATCGTGCCATTACACTCATAGAACTTTTTTGTCACTTACCTCACAGCAAAAGTCATCTGGACACTGAAAATGTTAGGGAAAAACCCAATTATTTTCAGGGTAGCTTTTCTATCCCAATTTTAATGAGTTCAATGGTAACAAAGTTTGCTCTGAGCATCTAAGGAGAAATATGCACATCAGCAATACATATATTTACATCCACATGGAATTACAATTTGTGGCAGTTTTTCAACTACCACTGGCAGCCGCAAGCACCAAAAAGACTTCTCACGCTCAATAATCTGATGACACGTATGTTGATATCATAATTTATGGCTCTTACAAGAACTCTTCACACATTCAGATACTTACACTGTCATACATGGTAGGAGCAGACAGGGTGTTGAAAGTACCTAGGACGACCATCACTTGTCCCCAGGGTGCAAACCAGCCCACAAAAGCTGTTCTGATAATGCTGGTACCTGAACAAAAGCCAAGTCTGGTGTGGCTGTGCCTGGAGAGCACGCTCTGCAATAACCAAACAGCAGAGACTGTACAGCAGAGCACCCTTAACATGGCTGAAGTGCAGAACACAAATAAATGCCTGGCAGCTGTCTTTCTGAGAGACCACACTGGCCACAGCCTGCCAACCTACACACTCAGCCTTTTCCTGCACCCCTTCTATGGAAATGGCCACAGCTCCTGCTTCACACAGTCTGTCAACTGAAACAAAAGGTCAGCTTAGACTCACAATTTTAAACCTCAGTCATCTTGCATCACCCTAACCACCACTGATATTCCTCCATATGTCTTGTCTTTATTGCCCTCTATAATCAGTGAAAGCTTTTTGTGTGTGTTTTAAGAAAAAAATCATATCCATTTATGTTTTAAAGAAGCCTCCAGACAGGCTGCAACAGATGAGCTCTGGCAAAGGCTGAGGCAGTTGCTGTGAGCAGGGCTGCAGCCTGCTGCCCATCCTCTGGCCCCCACTCTCACGGCTGGCAGCTGCATGTCCCAGCACAGAGCATGCCACACACACACAGTGGCCTCAGAGGGGAAGGCTGAGGTGCTGGGACACATCTTTCCACAAGCTGGCTCTGCAAAGTACTGGGATGGACAGCAGGTGATGTGAGAAACCACCTCAAACCCCTGCAGTGCTCACTGATTGATAGGACAGCAAGGGAGGACTCCAAATACAGGCTGTGGTGAAGCTCCAGCACATGAACTTAAGCAACCTCCACTCTGCTCTGACAGTCTGGGCCTGCCTGACTCTCAAGCTCCTGTCCTTATATCCCACGGCTGGCAACTGGGCTGGCCAATGCCTTGTGAGCAAGATTCCAAAGTCAGGACCAAGACTACAAGTTGGAAAACACATTTCAAGGGCTCTGGGCAGCTCCTAGCAATATGCTTTATCACTTAGGCACCAAGGCAATGCTTTTTTGAGAGGAAAGTGCATTACTGCAGATGTTAACATGGAAAAGTCTTGGGAGGAAGATTTGTTTTGTTCCCTATATGTCAGGCTGACGTCAAGTGCTAAAACATAAACTGAAAGCTGATCTGAGATCTACCTATGAGATAGCACAAGTGAACAAATAGAAGGCTAGGCTGAAAACTAGTTGTCAGCATTCCCAAGTAAGATAGTTTCTGACAACTGCAGCACACATCGACCCTCACTTTGTGAAAACATTGTGCTTCTCATGTCTATCACACAATTTTGCATGACTGCTTTGGGTATCAGTAACAAAAAGATATGGAAAAGATAGTTTCAACTGTTGAATAACAATGTTTAACATTTTCTTCAAATTCCTAAAATCAGGCAAAATTCCTAAAACCGGGCGAGCCAAAATAGAAGAACTAAAACCAAACAGTACACTTTTTTCACTTGTACTGTTTTGTGAAACAGAAGAACCATCCCTAAGTAACTTCCAACCCTCAAAACACTGCAGTAGTACCTGTGATAAATAATTAAAATTTCACTTTTTGACTGCCTAAGTTAGGAAAACAAAAGAGAAAAAAAAAAGATACCATATATCTGAAAAGGTTTCAGTGATAAAGTGTGCTCTCCTATGATCACTGTCTGACCACCACTGCAGAGTGTGTGCATTCCCTGAGAGGCAGAAGGGAGGGCTGCAGGAGGAAGCCAGCAGAGTTCTTCATTGTAACATACAGGACTGGAGTATGTCAGAGCTATACTTCCACACAGGATGTAGGCTGGAAGCACATCAAAGAGATAACTCATACGTGCCACCTCACACTCTGCAAATGTCTGTCAAGGCATTTCAGAAAGCGCAGGTCCGCTGCTCGTGCTGTGTGGCACAGGCTGGGGCAGAGCACAGCTTCTCAAAGCCACATGGTCAAACAGCACAGGACCATGCTGAAGCCTGATGGCCAGTAAGCACGAGCTGACAAGAATCCAAAGTGGTGTGATTTTCCAGCAAGTCAATTTGAGACAAGCTAAAGCCCCTTGTTTCCAGGGAATCTTCCCTAAGATCCTGTTTGGTCCCAGCTGTACTTCAAGGCAGCTCTGTTGACATGGTCTGGCTACTGGAAATAAACCCTACCTGTGTAGTGTCAGGACAGTTTATAGGCTGTATAGAAAGGACAGAAAGAAGCTGCTAGGGCTTTCAGTTGTGGCTGTGCTTACAAAACTGGGCATGCATGTCAGCAAGACCAGGGCATTTCCTTCAGAGATAATCACATAGTTTCTGTGTGATTATCACAGTGTCAATGCATTCTCTGCTAGTTTCTACAGTTTCTGTTAACACTGTGTTTAGGTACCTCAATCCTCAATGTCCAAAGACATCACTGAAGTAGAGAAAAACTGCTGTCCCCTAATGCAGAAGGAAAATTGAGCCAGATATAGCATGTACATTTCCTATCCCAGTAGATGGTGTCACATCTAATGGAGGGACAGAAAGGAGCTCAGAGCTCAGGTTAGGATCAGTCTCTCAGGACTGCAGCAATCTGAGTTTGATATCATCACATTTGGCTACACTGACAGCTCACTGCAGGCACCAGAGTGCAACCATGCAGCGCAGCCTATTTGATATTTAATTATAAAACCAGAGTAATTGTAAGAAAACTTCTTAACGTATACATATATATATGTGTATGAGCCTATAGACATATATACATACATATATATGTATGTATAGAGCCTATAACAGCAGGCTCTATCATGAAGGTTACTTATACAAGATTTCCATATGCACCATTCTGAATTAATTTCATCTGAAGTTTAGTCTACCTTGAGACCCCTGGGCTTGCAGTTCTCCTGAAAATAAAACATCCCTTTTTTTCTCAGGTCTAAGAAAGATTTCTGGATAATAACTTATCAGATAGAAAATGAGGGAAAATTCAGAGCTGTGCAGTACAACATGAGCTTCCAGAAAGTACTGGCCATTGTCTGAGGAAAAAAAAAACTTTCCATGCTATTTTTTCCCCTCAAAAACTGTGAATTTTGTAAGAAGCATCTCAACAACAAAATACCAAGTTTTCTGGGTGCTTGAAGTGAAAACAAATATAAGGTTTATGTTATATGTATGCTCACCATCTCTTCATCCAGAACTTCCACAAGTTATAGAGGAAAATAAGAAACAATAATAATTTTAGAAGTTACAAAAAGAAAGTGAATTTTAAAAAAGAACCTTCAAGTGAGTGACTTACATAGTTGTCTCTTGCAGACCAGCCTGGATAAAGCTGCATGTGTAGCTGCCTTTCTTTACGAGCTAGTTCATAATATTTTGCTTGTTCTTCACGGGAGAGAGCATGCCACTGCAAACAAAATAAACACACCTTTAGACTAGGAACTAACTTATACCTAGGCAACAGATGACTTGAGCAAGTGTTTTAGTGACTTTGATTCAGTCCTTCCCCACTGCAAAAATGAAATTCATTAGCAATTACAAGCACCTGTGTTTATTAACGACTTTCAGGCATTTGTCAGCTCTGCAACTGCCAAGTGCCTTGAGCAAGACAAAATTATTTATGGAAACAGGGCTCACCAAATAATCTGCTCACAGAACTGTTCTCTCCCAACACTACTTAAAAAAACCAACAACAAACAAACAAAAGCAAACCCCAACAAGAAAACAGCAAGAAAAACCAGCCTTTAGCTCCTGACAGAACTGAGGGGGTTTGTGCTGCTTTTAAAGGGCAGCAATCTCCCCTTGACAGAAGGGTCTGCTGTCTTGGTTTCAAGCAGCCCCTGGATACAAGTTTTCAATGCCAACACAGAAGGCTTTCTCTGCACCAGCAACCCTATTCCAAAATCAACTTCTAAGTATTGAAATTTAAGGTACCTGCTTTCTGATTGAAAAAGGAAATGACAACTGCAAAAGTTTCAAAGATAAAGAAATCACAGAACTACAGTCTTACAAATTATATGAGTTGACCTTTGTAGCCAAGCAGGAATAAATCTCCTGGTTTCATGTACTTAAAAGTAACCCCCCCCAAAAAAAAAGGCAAACAAAAATAACTCACAACCTGCACATTTGGAAAGGTACCAGCTACATTAGTATCTAATAATTTTGTTCTTGTTGAAACACCTATCAGAGACCTGAACCAGAAGGAGTAAAGGAGTAAAGGCCTTTTATTTAGAATAAAGTTCTACTGCTGCAGCATTAGATGCATCTTCTTGTTTGACAACATCCATAGGGAAGTAAGGGGAGAAAAAGTTATTCAAAAATCTAAAAACCAGACAATCATTAAGAAATCATTAAGACTTTCATACAAGACTGACATACAGAACTAAGATCTCAGATTACATCACTTTTGTATGATTTAATACGTTGTTTGGTTACACAGCAGAGGATGGCTCTTGTCTGCCTTGACTTGGCAAGCTGGATGTGTTGTTGAGAGCCCAGGAGCTCAGCCTGTCTGCAACTCTCAAACTCTGCAGGCACATTCAAAAACTGGAAGGTGGTAAACACAATGCTGGAGCCCAGCAGCATGCAAAGTGTCAGCTCAAGAGATCAGAAGTGGCTCCTCCTCTGGGACAGCACAGGGTAAATAATGACCAGGATGACTGAACACAAAACATTTGACAATAATTAATGCCCAAGCAATTGGATAACTCATGCCCCGTTTGCACCACAGGAGAAGTGGAATTTGAGGTACTTTCATGGAGAACAGTAACTTGAAAAGAGGAGTCCAAGCTGCAGAAAAAGCACACAAGACTGAGGCTGATTCCTTACCAAAACAGAGATAAATAAGCCACTGCCCTGGTTCAGACCAAGAAAACAAGGCTGACACACTAAGCAACTAAGATCAATCCTCTGGGACTGCCATCACCTGTAAGCGTAATTCACAGATCACAGAATACTTTGAGTTGAAAGGGACTCTCAAGGATCATAAAGTCCAACTCTTAGCAAATGGCTCATACATAATCCTAGAGACTTGCATGAAAGCATGGAAAAGGCAAGCACCAAGATGTCCTTTAAGGGCAGGTGACAAGAACAGAAAGCAGAAGACTGCATGAACTGGGACAAGTACCATTAGATTTCAGCTCTGTTTGGAGGGGGAAGTCTTCCAACTGTAATATAAAAGGAGCACTTTAAGGTCATGTAGAGATTTCCCACTTAAAAGTACAGGGTTTTCAGAGAGTCACAGTGCCTCTCAATACTGCCTTGATCAGTGATCAAAAGGAGGTATTCACGGGGAATTTGAATAATCCCTACTCAAACTCAGATCAATACAGAAAGTCACCCCTTTCCTCATTTCTGGGAGTCAATTACCTCTGCTGCCTTCCCTTGGATGAACAACACTGGCAGAGAGCACAAAGGCTGTCTGTGAGTTGGCCTGCATAGGGTTTTTTGTGAGCCTGGAATGTACAAAACACACCTACCATGCCACAGAAGCATCCAGCGCTCAGCATGGCTCTGCTACATGAACTGGGATCATCAGTACACAGCTGATGGCTTCAGAGACATTCAAAACTTGGCTGGGAAGGTTCCTGAGCAACCTGATGTAACTGGACCTGCTTTGTGCAGATGTTGGACTACATGACCAACCTGCATGGCTACAACTGGGCCACGTTATATTCACTTTTGAGTTTCAATCTCCAGTGGCATCCAGTGTTCATCTCTGAACGATCCCTTCCTGCTCTGATGGACACTATCCTAAGGAGGGAGCCAGAATGAGATTAGAATGCTCCTTCTGTGTGTGACTGAGGGTATTTAATGTCTGAGATGCTGACACCATAACGTGAGTGGAACAAACACAAATTTGACGATGTTGCTAATGCTGAAAAAAGAAAATCAAGATACTGTTTTTATTTTTGTTGCATGTTTTATCTTCTATAGCTAACTTGATAGTTGCACATCAGTTATCACCTCAAGCAGAAAGCCAGCCTTCACACCCAGCTAAGGGAAACACAAATTAGCAGCACACGTGAGCGCTCACAAACCCTGCTGTACATACCCTTCTGCCAAGGATCTGGTTGATAGCTGCACTTTCTTTCAGAGTACACTCTGCTACAACGTTTGCTCTCATTTCTTTCATGTACAACATGAAAGCATTCAGAGGTTTCTTAATATGAGGTCTTTTTGGCTCTTGTTCTTTTCTCTGTTCGTGCTGAGGCTTCCTAAAAAGTGTTTGGGAAAGGGAAAGGAAAGGAAAAAAGCATTAATTAGCCCTCAACCTAAAAAGATCCAATGGAAAATTACTAACTTATGGTTACAGTAGCACTTAAGTACTAGGAATGAGAATTGCAGTGGTCATGTCCCATCCACTTTCCTATGTTTTAGTTTAATACTCAGGGAGGACATCAGATTGACAGTCTCTAGCAAGTAACATTTAATCTGTGAATCTGCTCCAAACTTGTCTCAAGTCTGTTTTTGAAAGACTATCCATGATACCCTAAAAGACCACTGCCACAGGCAGGAGAATAGCTTCTCATCCCCTTCTTTCCTGGGTCTTTTGCCTTGAGTACTAAACAATGACTCTGCTTTTTACTAGTGAATTTTGCAGGTAAGAACTTTTCCAGCAGAAGTTCTTGAGTTCAAGCACCACTCACAACTGGACAGGTTCATGATTATGGTTGAATGGAGATGGCTGTTGCCAACAGCTTGAAAGTACTGGACTGGAATGAAAAATGGCTTCTCATTACCCTTATCAAACACCAGCCCACAGTCCCTGTTTTAGTTATAGGAGAAGAGTTAAAATTCAAAGAGGTCATGAAAGGCACTTTTAAAAAGCATCCTTGACTCTTCTTCAGATGGAGTTAGTTCTCAAACATTTATTCATCAAGGGCTAGAGCAGAAAGGCAGACTCACACATGCATTAGCTCACTGTCGTTGTGCAGATGTTCTTGTTTTACTTGAGGTGTTACAATAGCTGGGTGAGGGATTCCAGTTGTGTGAGGGCCTGGAGGACCAGGAATCATGTGATGTGAAAACCTAAAAGAGAAAACAAGGCAAGGTCTGTAACCCCATTGAAGACAGCATCAAACATGTATGACAGCAGCAGGACACTCCAAGAATGTAAATGCTGTGGAGCTTGCAATTAAGACAACTCTTAAAAAGCACACCAAAGATATTTGGCTAAGATTTGTGCATTGTAACCCAATTATTCAAGAAAAACAAACAAAAAAGTGAGTCAACATTTTGGTTGCAAAGAAGTTGTTTTATTACCTTTTGGACAAATGCTTTTAGCAATGCACACAAGAAATATTTAATATTTGTACTGTTGCACTGTCTAGCAATAAAAATACACATTTCTTAACCAAAAAAATGTATTTCCACACCAAGATATAAACATCCTTGAAATATCCACCACCAGCCAATGCAAAGGAGGAAACTGCCATGCAGAAAAAATAAAATGAAAGAAGAGTCTTTTCAAGAAGTCCCTGATGGCTCTCTTTACTTTTCCAGGTACTTAAGGTAAAAGATTTTAACATCATCTCATCTGAACCCACTATTCTTACCTTGAATGCTTAAAAAAAACTTTGAAAATCCTGCATCCTGGATGAAGGATGGGAGCAGGGAGAGATTTTTTTGTCCTAATTAAAGCTTCCTTTCATTTGTACAAAAAGGAAAATCAAAAATAAAACCAAAATACCACTAACTGAATAATCCCACGTTACTAACCCAGGTAGTTCTCAAGGACAGCTGAGACAGATCTTGAAGGTGCTAAGCATTGCAAACTCAGGTGCAGCAGAAAACCTGCATGCTGCATTTTAAACTAGTGGAAAAGCTCATGCTCTCAAGTTTTGCTGAAGGAGTGATGGCTAAGGAATGCCATCCAGCCTTTCACCATTTCCTAGTCTCCTTGCTGCCCTTTTCCTTCATGTGATCAAAATAAAGGAAACACAAAGCCCTGTAACCAAATCAAGTGATTTTATCATGGAGAAAGAATGTGTTTTCTTCCCAATCACCCTGACAGGCACATGCTTATCATTCCCCTGTAAAGAAGTGAAGGGACAGTGGTAATCCAAAGGAGCCCACACACGAAGAGGTAAGAGGACCTACCACTTATCAAGTGGCCTGCCTTAAATCCCTGTGCAGGAGGATGTCTCTCTACAGATGACAGAAAAAAACCTCAAGAATTGTATTTTGCAACCTCTTGTACACCAAGCACAGGATGCAGAAGCTGTCTTTAGAATGCAAAAGCAGAGCATAGGAGGTCTGGAGTGTGTCATGGCCAAGTCTCAATTAGCATTGCTTGCTTGCACTTAGACATAAAGATACAGTGCCTGAGTCACACACCAGTACAGTTACTGTGCTGGCATCCCCTGCCATTAGTGGCTTTGGGCTATGAAATACCTACTTGTGAGCAAGATTCCACACAGCATTACCTATGTGATTCAAGACTAATTACCAACAACTTTGAAATTGGGACTAGAGAATGCAGACTAGAGTGACAATCCACCTGGCTGCATACTGACATGAGCAAAACCCAAGGATGCTATGCACAACACCATGTGTTGCATCTAGAAATGAACTAATGACTCATTTCAGATGAAACAGCTCAATTAATTGTTGACAATTCACTGGGTGCTCCTCATTGCAACACTTCAGAGACTGACAAGAAAATGCTGAATGAGACCAGTGTGGGATCCAGGCAAACTGCATATACACACAAAAGTTAAATAAAAATGTATGCATAAGGGTTTAGCTGACTGAAAAGCAAGCAAAGGCAGACCAAGATGCAAGCAGAAGAGCAACCTGCCCTCTAATGCCAGCAGTTACTCCCCAGTCAGTCATTCACCTCCTACACCTACCTGGACATGGAAGGGTCGACTGAGAGTGAGGATGGATAGGGCTGCCTGAATCCACTCGAGATGGGATATACAGGCTGACCTTGCCTGAGGTCACAGAAGAAAGGAACCCATCAATCATATGATATGGTATTCAATCGTTATTCTAGAGTTACAAGCTCTTGATGGGAACTCAGTACTAGTCACAAATAAATAGTAAGAGCTAACACTTTCAAGAGTTCTGCTAATGAAACTAATGAATGCTTAAATGCTTTGAACTTTCTCCCTTGCTATTGAAAGATTCCCAATCTAAGTTTCCACTGGGAAGGAAAACAAAACAACCAGCCTTCCTCCCCCTCAAGGCACACATACTCATGCACACTTCTCTATCTCCATCCCTCTCTCACCCAGTTTTAGAAGCACTGGAATCAGATTTGTCAAACAAGCTCTTAGGAAAAAAGCATCTTATTCCAAATAGTTCTACTGTAGATCAGAGTGAGAACACCAGATGGTGAATTATTAAGCTAAAAAGCCTTTTGAACAGTTTTATTAAGTCTTTGAAAACTTATGACTTTCTCCATTAGCATATGCTAGAGTGAGGTACAAGTGGACAGCTTTTCTAAGTAGAAACTGATTCCATAAAAAAACCCCAACCCAACCACATAAAAGCCCACAGTGACACAAGCCTATCTTACTACTTAAAGATCAAACTTTGCAGTCCAGTAAGAGAAGCTTGTGTGAAGTTTTTGTCTCCTTTGCACTTTAACTTATACAGAATATTTTGCCACCAGTCCATCACTTGAGGTCTTTAATTTTTATCATCATCACTACGTTTTGATTACTTGATGACAACAATGAACCCCCTGAAGTAGCACGTGATGGCAGCGTGAGCAAATACCAGCCCCAACACCTCTACCAGCCAGAGGGACACCACACACATCAATCCTTTTTGAACAGTTGCTTATCGACTGGTCAATCAGCTCTCAGATGAGAAAAAACGGAACCTGGCCTCTGTAAGGTTCCAAGAGTGAAATCTGTAAGGACACAGATTTCAGTCTTGGAGCATATTACTGGAAATGAACAGTGCTTAAAGGAAAGAGGAAATGAAAAAAAAAAAAAAGTTGAAGGAAGTGTCAACAGTGCTGCCACACAGCAGGGAGCCACAGCACAAGGTACAGCTGAATATGTCCCGCTGTTGATGAGTGCTGCTGAACACATCCCTGAGCCTTGTAAGGTTGCATCTTGTCTCTCCTCTTCTTTCTCTTTTCCCTCTTCCCTCCCCCTAGTTTCTGCACTGAGAAACCATTCAGAAGAAATGACTGACCACATCTGGAAAATGCATGCTAGCAACTGCCTGGCGGCAGTGGAAGTGAGGAGTCAGCTAAGCAGCAGAATGGGGAAAGGGGGGGTGAAAGATTAAAAAAATAGATGGTCAGATACTTCCATATTTTAGTTTGATATCTACTAATTATTTGTTCCAAAAAGGCATGTGGCCTTTCCTGAAAGATATGCCAGCAAATACAACATTTCACCATCTTCTGCTCTCTACTTTCTCTGCCTGTTGTCATCTGGATCATGTTTCCCTCCCATGGAGACATCAAAAAATAAAAAAATCTGTATCCCTCACTGAATGGGCACAGACTAGTCACAACATAGATTCTAAAGCACTGAAATTGTGGCTGAGTTGCCTTATTCCCTGCTCCAAGAGAACTGAAGGCAAGTACATATCTACCCCAAGCAGACATGAAGCACCCTGCCAAATCTATTTCTCTGAAAATACCACATTTCCTCCAAAAGGAAAATGACACCCTGAGTGGCAGCAAGAGATCATGAGAGCATTAGCAAGAGCAGCAAGATCTCCCAGTGACAGAGGCTTCTCTCTGTACAGAAACTGTAAAAAGCAGCAGGTTACAAAAGTTTGTTCTCCATCTGGGGCAGTTTCAAGATTTAACCCCCCCCTCCACTTCAAAGTTCTTTCTTACCTCCCATCTCCTCAGTAATTGAAATTTTCTTTATTAAAAATTACATTTAATTACTTGAGAACCATTTGCTGCTATCTTTCTGAAAACTAAGAGCCACAAATCTGAGCCATAAGAAACATACAGACTTCAAAGTGAAGTCTACACACTTCAATTCCTGTATGTGTTCAACAAACAGATTCATTTCATTTCAAAGATCGACTTTTTTTCATCTTTTCAACTAAAATAAAGTAGCAATTTCTTACTGGAATGACATTATTATTATTTTGCTGCAATTGTGATTGCTGCAATTGATTCAACAACAGCAAATGGTGTGAACACGCACCTGTCTGAAAAGAAGCTAAAAAATCTTACCAGCCAAGAGGTGGTGTTATCTGTCCAACCCCCCCTGGAGACAAGGGATAGAAGGTAGGGAGATCAGGAGCTGGAGGATGCCTGGACATGCCTGTTAAAAAGTACAGAAGAACAAGTGAGCTTCCCCTCAAAATACTCCATATATGACCTACAGTTCCTAGCTGATACTACAGTGGAACTAGTGCTGTGGATAAGGAATAACCACCTTCTTGGTTAGTGTTAAAAGCAAAAGGCTCCACGGGCCACCTTTAAAACAGTTTGCACACAATACTGCAATTCAAAGGGAGATATCGGAAAAAATAACATGGAAGGAGGAAATAAATGTATGGGGAAGGACCTGTGCAAGTTTAGATCTCCTGTGAAGTGCATTAGGTGCTACTGTCCTCTCAATGGTCTCACCAAACCCAACAGGATCCTGAGGACCTCTTCTAACACATCATGAAACAAGGGGAAAATAAAGCGTTGTCAAAGAGGCAGCACAGCAGAGCTATTAGATTAGGTAAATTGCTACTTTTATATTTTCACGGGTTCCCTTATGGATTCACAGATTTTGGAAACTTGCTACCACAGAGGATCAGCGGTTAATTAAGAATCATTTTCAGGCCTGTAATGGTCACACTTGATATGATTCATTTGGCTTCCAATTGTCACTCCAGTTCCAACTAAGCTCTTCATCAAGTTGACTCCTGTGGGCTCCAAGGTCAATCTGTTTTGCAATGGTAGTATTTAATGGAAAAATAAGAGTCCCATCAGGAATGATCCATCAGCTCACATTCCCCAGAACACAGAGTCCTACAACTGCAAGAATCACCTCAAGATTAAAGCTAATCCTTATCCCAAAAGGGTCTGTGGTCTCCATTCTTCACCTAAACCTTGTGCCCCCAGGAGACATGGAATTACAGTTGCAGAGGCCACAAAGACATTGGTTTATTTAAATGTGTTTGGGGAAGAGGGGGTGAAGCAGAAGGAATTGTTAAGTCTACGTCACATGTTAAATCAGCTGCTTTAAAAGGGTATTAAATATTTATATGGTGACACTCTAAAGGTCCAAGACTGAGCATGTGCTACCTTGAGACTTAGTTTATAGACTGATATTACTGATTTATTCCCCTGCTCAGTTTGTACTTAAATCTTCTGAATTTAATTACAAGATTTGAAGAATATCTGTTAGGACCATGTACAGAAAAGCATAGAAAATAATACCAGTGGTGTCATTGTCTCAAAAAAACTGGATTTTTAGACTTGGAACCACAACCTACGTGATGATCGAATTTCTGGCCAGCTGTCTTTTCAAAGGTGTAAAACAGCTGGTAGCTGACAGGAAAGGAAACACTTTACATATCCCAGGGCTTTTACATGAGAGGGAGCACTCTTTCCGAGTGGTTGAAAGAAAAGAAAACCAAACAAGGTGTAAAAGAAGCCCAGCGTCTCATCTCTCACATCTCTGATGATGACTGATGCTCCTGGAAGTGATGACACGACCTTGCCCCAGCCAGACCAGGTTCTGCACACGGAGCTGCGCCATTCCTTCTCCAGGATCTGCAGTTCTGACCCATGGAGACAACACTGCTCCCTCTGAACTAATGCACAGTTGTTATGGCTGTTCCAAAACTTCTGGCCTGTTATGGAGGGCTACCAGCACCTAGCACCCTCAGAAGCACACAGAGCTACCACATGGCCAGTGCCCTCCAAAGCAAGTTCTCTTGAGAGGGTTAAGAAAAAAATTAAAATTAAATAAAAATTAAAATTAAAAAATAAAGAAGTGACTGCCTTTAGGAAAGTGGTGCTGCGTGTCCATCCCAAAGTGCCTTGGGTACAAGAGGCAGTCCTGAGGGCAAGCTGCTGTGGACCCCCTTGTTGGAGGATTTTGGTGGGAGGAGGGCACCAGGGCTAGGGTGCCAGGGCAGTGCCTTGTTCCAGACCCACAGCGGGAGGCAAAGACCGAAACAATGGTTGGAGGCATTTGGCAGAGGACCTGAGGAAAAAAAAAATCCTCTCTTTGCAGCAACTGCATGGGCTACTTCAGTGCGGCTGCTCCCACACGCCGGTGGCGCCGAAACCGGGAGTATGGACGGAAGGACCACACACATCAAGACCATCCAGAGACCATCCCAGACAAAACCAGTAGTCTCCAGCCTGCATTATCCACATCATCCATCTCCATCTTTGCCAGACACTGAGCAAAGGGATCAAGAGCCCGTTCAGGAACTCCAGAGGGCAATGAGCTTTGTGCCTCCTGGCAGAGGCCCTCAGCAGGCTTGCACTTGTGACTGGTGGGATGCTGGACAGGGGAGAGGGTAGAGAAGAAGCAGAAGAGAGGATGTGCAACAAAACCAAAAAACCAACAAACCAGATGTTGTTCAGATGGGGTCTGCTGTCAGGAATACAAAAATAAACTGGGGTAAAGGCAAAAAGATGGGGCACAGAAGGGCAAACTCAGCATGCAGTATGCAGAAACATCTTAAGCTCACAAACTGCAGCAGTGGGTTGTGCCCCAGCTGTCACAGCCAGCTTCTGCAAGAGGTGGAAATCCCATTCTCTTATCGCGTGGCACCCCTGGGATTTCAAGGAATGAGTGTGAATATCCTTCTCCTAGGCACTGATGCAAAGGAGGAAGACAAATGAGGACAGGAGGTCTCCATTTGCTTCTTCCAAGTCTGAAACAGATATTGTATACATATTTACAGGCCAGGCTTTCCAGGCAGAGTGCTTTTTGTATTCCCCCTCCCTAGAAAAAAACAAAACCTAACTAACAAACAGCAAAAACCACACAGAGCCACCAGGCCATAGCATTTTCTGGATGTAGCCCATGTTATTATCTCCATAGCACAGCCAAAATAAAACCCAGGCATTCAGGGAAAGACAGAGCAAAAGAAGTCTCTCTCCCTGAGCAATGACTAAAAGCCTCTTCAGATAAATGGGACAACTGTGCATATGGATGTGAACTCAGGTAAAGCAGAGCTTCAGGATTCTGTCAAATGGGTGCCATAACACATGGTGGGACATGCAAGCTCAGAGAGAAGCAGGGAGAGGCACCCTCCTGGACCAGTTGTGGCACTGACAGGCTTCCTGCCCATGCAGAGATGCCCAGACTACAGTGAATGCCTTTGTAAAGCGTCTGCTCTCTCTCCTTCCCTCCTCACCACCAGCTCTCCCATGCAGGCTTTTTGTGCTCAGGTTCTTACTAAACCCTGGGTCAGACCCATGATGGCCATGGCCATCCCCTTCCACCTCCCCAGGTTCCATCACATCCCTCTCCAGCTCCTGCAACCCATTGCAAGCAAGCACAGCCTTCCCAGGAATCCCTTGTGTTCTCCTGGGTATAGGGCATCCACTCTTGGCACAGGCTGGGACTGACACCTTGGAGACTGTCCCCTCTTCCCTGGGGGCCTGCAGACTGACCCTGAGCAGGGCTGGTCTGACATTCCCAGATGTGCATCTAGGAGGCTTTTGTGTTTGCCTTAAGGGGTCCTAGAGATGCAGAGAAAACTGACATCCATGACTCAGACATCTAAAAAGATGCTTTCTGTTGAAGGCACCCACCAAGAAGGTTAAAAAATGTTGGATTTGTAAAGCTTTTACTTGCACAGGTTCAAAACTAGTTTTATGGGCCAAGCTTTGATTATGCTAACTGACATATGGACAGCCAGAATACAAGGACATAAAATAAAGTGAAAGAAAAGTAGCACCACTACTTAAGCACTTGTCCCCTGTTTTCAAGAAGGTGAGGGATGGTTGCCCTTTCTGTATTTGCATGCTGCAAGCCTTGGGCACCACAGGAGATGGTGAAGACTGGCTGCTATTTAGTGAGATTTTGAAAGACTTTGATGAAAAAAGCAAGCCCAAATTATCACATCAGATGGAACATAAAAATTTAAGCAGCCATGTTAAGCATCAGCATCACGACAGAATTACCATGTCTGAAAGTGGGCATATGCACCTGGAAGCCTCCCTCTAAAATATTACAAATTGGTAATATTGGTTCTGTCAGCAGCACAAAGGGCACCAGGGCCACCCTGCATCCCCACTGTGCTGGAAAGGATGGGCTCACCTTGTTTGGAGCTGACATCAGAGGGGACGTGAGACGGGTGTGACCCCGGGGAAAAGTGCTCATCGCTGTAGGTGATAAGAGGGGTGAGGGGGTGAACCGCATGAGAAGGCTGTACCACGGGCACCTTGTTGGACTGCAAGAGAAGAACAAAAATTAAATTGTGTTAGTGAGAGGAGGCTTCTGCTTTGAAAAAAAACCCAACCACCCAACATTTCCAAAATGCTATTTTTAAATATTTGCATAACTAAAGCGGGGGAAACAGATGGACAGACGTGACATTGGGGCTAGTGGATGGAAAGCAGGTTTGCTGCCAGAATCGGCATCCTCAAACCACTGGCACCCAAAGAGGGATGCAGATATTGAGGAAATGCAGGGAAATGGGTGGGGGCCGGGAGCAGGAAGAAAGGCATTTGGGAGCCATTGAGACAGGGCTGCGGAAATGGCAAATGGAGAGCCGCAGGGCAGGAGGAGCAATGTGCTGGGCAGGCAGGCACTGTGCACCAAGGACAGCAGAGTCAGCAGCAGGGATGGAGAAACCCTTTGGTTACAGGAACAGCATTTAAAAAGAAGGCTTAAAGTGCAGGTTTGCCATATCTCCAGCCTTAAAAGCTTCATCAGCTTCTCTCTTCCTTCCCACTGCTCTTCCTGCATAGCCATGGCATGGCACAGCTGGGACAAACCTCTGCCATCACCAGAGGAATGGCAAGTTTGTCCCTTGCAGTTTTACAAAGTCTGGTTGAAAACTCTTGTCTGTCTAGTGGCTAACTAAAGGGTCACCCTTAGAAGGCTGATTTCATATAGGAGCAGTTGGCAGTGGCCTCTCAAGAGGGTCAGTTAGAGGGGAGGCACAGGAGCGCAAGGAACAGCTGGGAGGCTGCTGACTCTATCAAGGAGAACTCAAAGCGCTACAAACGCCCACAAGGGTCCTGAAAAGGGTGCCATAAGGTGATGTCCTTGCAGGGCAAGATGCACACTTCCCACCAGCACTTCCCAGAGTTGAGGCACATGGGAGGAGGCAGGCAGCATGACAGAAGGATGCTGTCCAAAATTACTCCCTAAGATCAAGGTTGCAAGACAACAGAACTCCTCAATCCCAATGAAATCCTGCATTATTAATGCTGCTTAAAACTCAAGTTGCTTTTTCCACGGTGAGACAAGCCACAGCGATGATGCCAGCATGTAACAGGAACTCCTCATTTGTGCCCTGCCACTCTACCTTGCCCCTTAGCACAAAAAAATTATAGAACAAACAGGCTTTTAATAAAATCCCCCCCAAAAAATATAGCTATCCTTCAGACAGACACACTGACAGCAAAGACAGCCTGTCAAACGTAAGGAATTAAAAAAGAAAAAGAATTTAAAAGGCGAATGAAATTAATTTTCATTGAGTTCACTGTTGAAATTCTGGCACAAAGCAGACATTAAGATACAGCTCCATGCACAAGTCCATGATTTTTCTGGACTTCTGGAAGCAGATGGGTTATTAAATGGACAACTCAATTTATTGTTAAGGCTGGTAGGAGTAGAGGAAAGGAAGCAAACGGGAACCAGTGCAGCATTTTCTGCTTTCCTTGTTTCCAGAGCACCACCTTAAGGAACTTGCATTAGCAGGCAGTATCTTCTTAATGTCTGACCTATCCCTCCAGTCATATAGCTCAGAATCTGGTGCCATGAATTTTTGCTAAATTATGCTATCCTTGCTCTCCTCTTAATTTTACGGTTTTCAACACAGATTTGCTTTCCTGTGGGAAAGAGATAAGAACCTGAGGATTTTAATTTAAGCTTCGGCCTTGTCTTATATTTTGCAAGATGGAGAGAGAAAGCAGCGCTAGTAGGTGTTTTAAAGCCAACAAGCATTAGGTCCATTTTTGTGACCAAATAATAAAAGCAATATGAATTCTCAATAATATCTAGGAGTTGAGTTGTAAAGGGGATAGCTCAGACTGCTATTCATCTTCCCCATCCGTATAAATTCCACAAAAAACAGATGCCAACAAATTTCAGATGATTTACAAATCGGGCCTCAGTCTTTAGCTATGAGACTCGTGGGCCAGCCTACCATTCAGCCATTACTTTATCAACAATAAACTGTATATTATGAATAAAGATAAGCAATAGATGTATTTAGGTCACACACACACACAGCTGCTAATCAGCATTAATTTCTCAAAATTTAGTAATTAACATTTTGTATTGTACTGGATGTAATTGTCATGCATGCCCCTGGTATCAGGGTTCCTTGCTTTCAGAAATCACCCATTTATACTTGGAGCATGCCAATCCCTGTACCCCCTCGCTCTCCAGCATCCTGCAGATTTTATTTTATTTTCTAATTCTCGGCACCTTATCCCCTAAGCCCATGGCAGCGGCTTTCAACGGGCAAAGGAACCGTGAGAAGTCAGGAGAAAAGCAAACCGCTTGTCAGCGGGCTTAAAATTAACATATAAACGGGCCATATCTCCATTAAGAGCATTTGGGGGTCTGCAGAGCCAGAAATTGGGAGGGAAAAAAAGTAACAATAAAAACCAGCAATAATGCAAAGCTTCCAGCCTGCCTACCCCACACTGCTTTGGGAAGACCCGGGGATCTCTGGCAGCTAAATCCTGCTGGTCGCCCCAGCAAGACAATAGACGGGGGCTCACTGGGCACAGGCTGAGCCTCTCTGAGATGGCCACAGTGATCGACAGCAGGAGGACACACAGGGTGACATATACACGATGAAACCAGGAGGAGAAAGGCCTGATGACATATTTTCCAAAAGCCCTATGGACTTGAAATGGTTCTGCCATGGCATCTGCCCTACAAGGCAACCCAGACGGGTTACGTGGGCCTTCCTCACAGAGAGGGTTCAGGGCAGGAGACCAAGACCTCATATGCAGACACCTGAATGCCCCTCTTGCCACCCTCCCATCCCCTGCTGCAGTAAGGGATTGACCCCAGGCACCCCATCCAGGCCACAGACACCGCCCCGCACCCTTTCCCCTGGGGACACCTGGACTGGGGATGTTGCCAAAGCCCCTTCCACCATCTACTGCTCCCAGCGGGCACTACTGCTTTCCAGGGCTGTGAACCGTGGCCAAATCCTACCTCACACTGAGGTACAAAACGGTGCTGATGAGGCTGCTTCTACTGCTTCCCAGCCTTTACCCAGGCTGCCTCTTCCCACAAACATGGCATCCCTACTACATTTGTCTCCCCAAGTCCTTCAAAGACAATGCACACAACTGCAGAAACACTTGAGAGACTGACAGAGATTCAGTCTTGGGCAACATGACCTCCATGCAGGGGGAACTACATTCCCCATGGCCTGCTGAGCACCTGCTGACCAAGCCCACAACCAGCTCTCGCTGGCACACTGGTGACATTTATATCTAATTCGGTCATTGTCCACAGAATATCTTTTCTCCTCAGCACAACCTGAAAATCTGCAAAACCCAATCAGTCCACATGCCTTCAACGAGACAATTACATAATTATGCACTGTCCTACATGAGGTTCTTCGGTATTTCAGTACAGAAATTATACTTCATCCACCCACCAAAACATAGCATTTTGGTGCAAGTAGGTACTGAAGCAGCTTCTAAAACCACAATAAAGTGAATGAGGATTAAATTTCCATTTCTATTCTCATTTCCAAGACAATCTGGAGAAGCTGAACGTTTGTTGAAGCTGCCCCTAGCACAGCTCTAATGCCACATAAATGGTGCATTACCACACCAGTGAAGGTCCATTCTCTTTGCCTAAGGCTCTTCACATGACCTGGAAAGTAAGGGAAATGGGACATACAGCACAGCACAAGATATGCAATTTGGAAAAAGTAAATTACTAAAAATGAGCACCTGTTTTTTACAACCTGAAGACCTCCTGTTCTGTTTTAGGACACCTTATCATGCATGCGTTACCTGTTGCAAACACTAACGGCTAATGGCAAAGGGACAGCCTATTTCTGTTAGCCTAGGGACACACAGCTGTGCCTCACAGCACTCAGCTCAAAGGAACACTCCTGAGTGACTCAGCCTCAGTGGTCTCCTTCTCAAAGACCACATGGCTACCAGGGATCCAGTCCCAGAGCACAGTCCTGCAGCACAGACCACACCAGCATCCTTTGGGAGCTGGCCTCTGTGCAGCCCTCCCTGGGGCACTTTTCCTCATCAGCTTGGCCTTCCCAGTCGGTATCTTTTATTTCTCCCAAGCATGTGCTCTCAGGCTGAACTGAGGCAGTGCAGGCAGGGGACAGTCCCCTGAAGGACACAACTGCACTGGAAACAGCAGGAGCCAAATTATTTGGCCAGTTAGGGCTAAGATGAAACTGCTATTCAGTTTTATGACTGACCCGAAATAAAACCCCAAAATCCCCAGTACAATGTTGGTGGGCAAAGGGTAAGAGCTTGCAGGGAAGAGGGCCCTGACCCAGCAGTCAGCACTATCCCAGCAGGAGCTTTGCTATGCACCAGACACCTGTTTAAAGCTATTGCTGAGTTAAAGTAACTCAGGAACAGGTCAGCACAACAGCAAGCACTTTCCTTGCGAACAGCAATCACAGTCTGCAAGTGGTAAAGCTTGAACTTAACTCAGGAATTTTGGCCAGGGCAAGGAGCAGAGTGAGAAATCCCCTGGCTGCGACACTGGCACAGCTGCTGCCACATGGTTGGGTGACCCCTGCGAGTGCCCTGCACTGGCAGTGCTGCACCTGCACTCACAGAGCCACTCACCATTTCAGACATGTGCCTGCCCTCTCATCCGAGGAGCACACTGTGAGACAGTTTAGATTAATCTCTGGTGAGTTCATGGTGAAATGCTGCGGCACAAATTCAGTCTGAACCCAGTGAGTTTTCCCTCATTTTTGAAATGTTTCTGAAGAAAAGCAAGAGACCAGAAAAAAACAAACCTCAAGCCCTGCCCAAACAGCCAGCTAATGTTTCACTGAAGCCCCACACCTGTAAGGTATCTTATATGCAACAAGTGTGCAAAAACTATAAAAAGCCTGAGACAGCCACGGCAAAAATGCCTGTAGGTCAGCGCTGGGCGAGGCGGGCAGCTGGGAGCTCCTGCTGGAGCTGGGGCCACCATTTGTTCCAGCTGCTGCACAGAGAAAGATATTAAATTAATGACCCTTCAAAGGACACACATCTA